AGAAATTTAAAGTTTTATTTTTATAATTCTATGTATTTTAAACTATAATCTGATATTACTTACATTCACTTCGTCGTCGTTAATCAGTAGCCCCACCTTGTGTAGCTATATCGATAATTAATATCGAAAGCTCTGGTTGATCTACTTCCAGTCGTGGTCTCCCAATGACAGACTCCTTGTATTTCAAATCTTTTTTTACATCGGGATATTTTTCGAAAATTTTTTTTAATTTTTGATTTTGTTGTCGGCGGTTTTTCTTCTTTCTTATCGCATCACCGATTTTTCTTCTGAAATCCTTTTCTCGTTTGATCAGTTTTTTTTTATACTAACAATTTGTTCGCCTGTTTCTTTGCTGCTAAAACCGATATCCTTAACCAACCTCCTTAACCGACACCAACAAGTGATGAAATTTGAGCTTGTAATTTCGAGATGGGCGTTTTTGATTTGTCTTGGGAAGGTGTAGCTAGCGTTGTTTTCTTTTCAGCAATTTTGGTTCCATCCAACTCGACTGTATCATACGGTTTACTTGTTTGCTCACGGGACTCTCTAACACATACTTTAGGAGAAACAACAGATTCACTATTTATTGAAGAAATACACTCCGTTGTATTACAGTCCGTGTGTTTCGGTGCGCTTTTAAAGAAATTGAAGAGGTTGGATGACTTATTTATTGCTGCTTTTTGTTGTAAGCAACGAATTTTGTTTAACACTTCGTTTTGTAAAGTAGTATCATCCAAGCTATTTGCTTTCAATTCGGCCCACTTAGAATTGGATTCGGATTGGAGAGCAATTTTTGGTTTGTTTGGAAATGCCGATTTGTATATTTCCCACAACTTGCGGTATAGATCTCTGCGATTCACAGTTTTGACGTGTTGTTTTGTATTTTTCATTTTCAATCTATTAAATACTACATGAATATATACGTAACACATCAATACTTAAGAAACAAAATAAGTCATAGCTTTTTTTCAACATTTCTTGATTTAAACGGGATTATAAAATAATAATTATTTGTTTAAGAAAAATCATAATTGTTTATTAAGAAAACATTAAATATTAAGTGATTCTGTAAAAATTAAGTTCGACAAAAATGATCGATCAAGAGC